TCATGATCACTATGTGTGTGTGTGTGTCATGATCACTACTCTAAGGTGTGTGTGTGTGTCATGATCACTACTCTAGGTGTGTGTGTGTGTGTGTGTCATGATCACTACTCCAAGGTGTGTGTGTGTGTCATGATCACTACTCTAAGGTGTGTGTGTGCATGATCACTACTCTAAGGTGTGTGTGTGTGTCATGATCACTACTCTAAGGTGTGTGTGTGTGTCATGATCCCTCTAAGGTGTGTGTGTGTGTGTCATGATTACTACTCTAGGTGTGTGTGTGTCTGATCACTCTCTAGGTGTGTGTGTGTGTGTCATGATCACTACTCTAAGGTGTGTGTGTGTCATGATCACTACTCTAAGGTGTGTGTGTGTGTGTGTGTCATGATCACTACTCTAGGTGTGTGTGTGTGTGTGTGTGTGATCACTCTCTAAGGTGTGTGTGTGTGTCATAATCACTACTCTAAGGTGTGTGTGTGTGTCATGATCACTACTCTAAGGTGTGTGTGTGTGCATGATCACTACTCTAAGGTGTGTGTGTGTGTGTCATGATCACTACTCTAAGGTGTGTGTGTGTGTGTGTGTCATGATCACTACTCTAAGATGTGTGTGTGTGTCATGATCACTTTCTCTAAGGTGTGTGTGTGTCATGATCACTACTCTAAGGTGTGTGTGTGTGTGTCATGATCACTACTCTAAGGTGTGTGTGTGTCATGATCACTACTCTAAGATGTGTGTGTGTGTCATGATCACTACTCTAAGGTGTGTGTGTGTCATGATCACTACTCTAGGTGTGTGTGTGTGTGTCATGATCACTACTCTAAGGTGTGTGTGTGTCATGTCACTACTCTAGGTGTGTGTGTGTGTGTGTGTCATCACTCTCTAAGGTGTGTGTGTGTGTCATGATCACTACTCTAAGTGTGTGTGTGTGTGTGTGTCATGATCACTACTCTAGGTGTGTGTGTGTGTGTCATGATCACTACTCTAAGGTGTGTGTGTGTGTGTGTGTCATGATCACTACTCTAAGGTGTGTGTGTGTGTGTCATGATCACTACTCAAGGTGTGTGTGTGTGTGTGTGTCATGATCACTACTCTAAGGTGTGTGTGTGTGTCATGATCACTACTCTAAGGTGTGTGTGTGTGTGTATGATCTTAGGTGTGTGTGTCATGATCACTACTCTAAGTGTGTGTGTGTGTCATGATCACTACTCTAAGGTGTGTGTGTGTGTCATGATCACTACTCTGAGTGTGTGTGTGTGTCATGATCACTACTCTAAGGTGTGTGTGTGTGTGTCATGATCACTACTCCTAGGTGTGTGTGTGTGTGTGTCATGATCACTACTCTAAGGTGTGTGTGTGTGTGTGTCATGATCACTACTCTAGGTGTGTGTGTGTGTGTCATGATCCTCTCTCTAAGGTGTGTGTGTGTGTCATGATCACTACTCTAAGGTGTGTGTGTGTGTCATGATCTTCTCTAAGGTGTGTGTGTGTGTCATGATCACTACTCTAAGGTGTGTGTGTGTGTCATGATCACTACTCTAAGGTGTGTGTGTGTGTGTCATGATCACTATCAGTGTGTGTGTGTGTGTGTCATGATCACTAGGTGTGTTGTTCTCTAAGGTGTGTGTGTGTGTGAGTCACTACTCTAAGGTGTGTGTGTGTGTCATGATCACTACTCTAAGTGTGTGTGTGTGTGTGTGTCATGATCACTACTCTAAGGTGTGTGTGTGTGTGTCATGCACTACTTAGGTGTGTGTGTGTCATGATCACTACTCTAGGTGTGTGTGTGTGTCATGATCACTACTCTAAGGTGTGTGTGTGTGTCATGATCACTACTCTAGGTGTGTGTGTGTGTCATGATCACTACTCTAAGGTGTGTGTGTGTGTCATGATCACTACTCTAAGGTGTGTGTGTGTGTGTCATGATCACTACTCTAAAGTGTTTGTGTGTGTGTCATGATCACTACTCTAAGGTGTGTGTGTGTGTGTCATGATCACTACTCTAAGGTGTGTGTGTGTGTGTCTCTCTAAGGTGTGTGTGTGTGTCATGATCACTACTCTAGGTGTGTGTGTGTGTGTGTGTCATGATCACTACTCTAGGTGTGTGTGTGTGTGCGTCACTACTAAGGTGTGTGTGTGTGTTCTGTGTGTGTGTGTTGATCACTACTCTAGAGTGTGTGTGTGTGTCATGATCACTACTCTAGGTGTGTGTGTGTGTGTCATGATCACTACTCTAAGGTGTGTGTGTGTGTCATGATCACTACTCTAAGGTGTGTGTGTGTGTCATGATCACTCTCTAAGGTGTGTGTGTGTGTGTGTGTCATGATCACTACTCTAAGGTGTGTGTGTGTGTCATGATCACTACTCTAAGGTGTGTGTGTGTGTCATGATCCTACTCTATGTGTGTGTGTGTGTCATGATCACTACTCTAAGGTGTGTGTGTGTGTGTGTGTGTCATGATCACTACTCTAAGGTGTGTGTGTACTACTAGGTGTGTGTGTGT